GAAAAACATGTCCAAATGTAATCCTTAGGACGTTTACCTAATTCCTCCACTCTCTCAGTGGAATCGGCCGCTCCAGCGGTAGCAAGAACCGAACCGTTCCCAAAAAGATTCTTGAAATCCGTGGGAGTTTCAGTGGTGGGAAGCTTCCGGGGATTCAAGGACGGAAGTCTGGGCGGAGGCTCATCGTCGTCCACCAGCTCGTGGTGCGAGGAAGGGACATCGTCGCCTCCAGGCTTGTGCAGATCGGGCACCAGGTTGAGCCAGAAGGACAGCCGATGCGCCCGATAGTGGTTCTTCAGCTTGGGCTTCTGATCTGCAACCAAACAGCAAGCTGGAAAAATTGCCCACAGCTTCAATAAACCKCCTAGAGCTTTTTTGCGATASAYTGTCGCAAAGAACTTTCACGTTGACTAGTGAATACTTTGCTCTAGTTTGAATATTGACTCATMASRAAAGACAATGTTTGCATTCGATCAAGTGATATGTGAATGTTTTCTTCCASTCAGGGCGCACTTCGTTTGAATCACTTTTCGAATGTCTTCTGGTGTTGTTGCAGCCAAAACTTCTACGTAAATCACCCTGTATGAGGGCGAAATTCATCCGGTCAGTATTGCTGGCGCATTAATAATTTCCGACCTTTCGAAACCCAAACACACCTTGGCCATAAATAACAATTCCTAGCGAACTTTAATCCCGGATTAATTTTTCACGAGCCGGACTAGTTTTCGATCTGGGACTGTGCATTATTCACTGGTAAATTATTTTTGGATCTGGCTTGACGCCGTAATGCTATAAGCGACCTTTTTAAATAACTGAAAAAATCCATTCCGAGTCTCAGTTAGAGGGCAAAACCTACATGACATATTTGGAGGACTGAGACTCGTGTGTCCTGGAAAATATTCCAACTTATGCCCGACAAGCATCTCTGAAGATGCAAAAAAGGCAACAGAAAAGCCCTAGAAACTCCCAAAATCCCCATTTGATATTTTGCCGACTTGATTATGACCACTCGGGCCTTTAATTAAGCGAACACTTTCCTGGAATATTGACCATTCGATTTGCTAAAAGGCCGTGCAAAAACGAGCAGCAACAGAACGTGAACTAGCGAAAAACAGGTATGTGTCGCCGTTCCGTGCACTGAATAAGAGATAAGCTGTTAAAATTCCAATCTCGTAGCTGCTGCTCAAAGTGCTCGGTTTTCCTCTGAAGTGGGGTTCGTCTCGAATGTAATTTTTCGCGTGTCCTCACTATGCACCACTTTGTTCTGCTCGAAATATTATTACCTGCATCCTTATTAGCCAGACAAATTTCCGCTTTGAGCAGCCAATACAGTCGACATTGTTTAGCGACTTAAGCAGCTTCGCTTTGGCTTATTTTGGAAGATTGTTTAGAAATTATTTGCAATTTTTCAGTTGAAATCACTGGGGGACTTTCAGTCGCTCAAACACCTGCCTGCGCTCTCCAGATGTGTAAATACCTCCCCTCTGCAGGGTTGCTTCTAAACTAGCGAGGAAAATCCAGAAAATTCGGTCAGTGATTTTCAGTAGACCCAAACCAAGAAGAGACCATCATAGGCATTTGTCTGTTTGATTTAATATAAATGGCTAAGAACCGCCTATTAGATAAATCTCAATTTGCTTTAGTATTCGGATTGCGTCTAGCTTGGGGCCGGGTTCCGGACGACAAAGGAGAGAATTATGCTGCAGAGGACGCACACAAGCATGGAAATCTCGCAATAATCGCGATAATATCGATCTTTTAAATAGAAACCCAAAAAGGCTCGGGGGAATTTATGGGGCCTGGAATACCGCTGCACATTCATCTTTTTGTCTCGATATAAATTAGGGAGTAAGTGCAGACCATTACATAAATCTCGATTTGCTTTAGTATTCCGATCCCGGTTCTCTGAGCGATTGCGTTTAAGCTGCACCGAAATCCAGAATCATGCCCGAAGATCGCCATTCATTTAGCTGCTAATTGTCCTAAGAATATTCTGCAAAAAGCCTGTGAGTTAATTGCTGTCTTACCTAGATTTAGGTATTTTTTGTGCACTGCCTCGTACGCAGTCCATTCTACGTTTTTCACTCTTCCTCGCTCTTGCCTCGCATGGTCACCTTCCGGCTGCTCATTTGGATTTCTGCAAAGCATCGAAAATTGTGTCAAAAACTTATTATAATCGGAAACTGTCTTTATTCACTACTGTTTTGTCTGTTGGTGTAGGTTAATCTACACAAACGTGACAATTTTTTTATCCTCCAACACCCTCTGCTGTTGTGGATAACAAATACATTTTTGGACATTTGGAAAGGCGCTTTTGTAATCTTTGCACATTGACTGTAAAACATTTCCCGTAGTTCACGAGCAATAATCGACAATTTCCCATCCTCAAATGGCATTTTAAGCTAATAGCCATATTTATGAGGTTGCCTCGAAGTAAATGCGGAGTAAATAGAGGATTGCAAGCCAACTATTTCGGTAAATATCACCGTCTACGACACCAAAGCAGGGCTTTGTGTTGTTGTTCGCGAATTAACTAAATATTGCTGTTTGAGGTGGTGTTATGCTCGGAAAGTGTGAATCGAAGCGCTTTGCCTATTGGCCTGGTAAATCGATATGGATTATAAGCAATTGAATCTTCTGGGCTCTTCAAATCGATCTCAAAAACTCGTTTGAGCAAACTATTTGATTCATTGGAGTAAGGAAAGAAAAACTATGCCCTAAACTACCCCAGACCAAATAGGAAAAGGTTCTGCAATCTTTTCCAAAATCGCTAGTTCAATATGCGGCAAAGAACTGAAGTTTCCAGAAGAAAAAACTGGCTATTGAACTTGCACGTGACCCTCAAGAATATTTGTAACTGCTGGTGGAGCCAAACTAAAAATCCTCCCAAACCAGTGAAGAGAACAACCGGAAATTTTGTCCCCGTAAAACGCAAAGCTTCATCTGGAAACTGAGAATATTTCCTTAAAATCCGAGAGACTATTGATTTTTCCTGAGCCGTTGAGCTTCATGTCACATTCAAGATCCTTCAATTTTGGGGTGGGGCTAATAAAAAAATTGAGACTTTTGAAGTCTTTTGAAGAAATTGAAATTTTCGCACAGTGAATACTAGAAAATTGACTAAAAGTTAGGAAAATTTCATGTGAACACGATTGTCGGCTGACTTTTGAGAAGCTCTTGAACTGGAGGGAAAATTTGAGGAATTTCTACAATGTGCGGTGAAGCTAAGTTAAAAGGCGAAACTCCCGAATTAGTGAAACTAAAACCGGGCAAACCTGGCACAGCGAAGATAATGGTTTTAGCTAAAATTTGAGAAATTTTCATTAGAATCTTGATTTTGGTTGATTGTTCAGAAGCATTAAACTTGGACGTAAATATCGTCGTTTTGCCAACTTGTGATGGAGCTCAAAAAATGTTGGAGTTTCCAAACCAACAGACAAAGCAACTAAAAAATTTTGTCCTTCTGAAAGGCAGGTTTCCAGGAAAGACCCGAACAATTTCGACCAGCGCCTAATTTTTCAGACTCCGTTGAACTTGCACGTGAAATTCAAGAATATTCTTAACTTAACTAAAAATCGAAACTTCCAAGCCAGTGGAGACAACAAAATGAAATTTTGTTCTAGTAATTCAAAAATCTTCAGCTAAAATCTGCAAATATTTCCATAAAATCCCAGATTAAAATTTTACGTTGGATACAAAAACCGTCAGTTTCGAGGTGAAGCTCAACAAAAATTCGAAAGTCCCAAACCGACAGTGGAAACAACCTAAAATTTTAATGCAATAAACATCATTATAGGGGTTAAATTCTGAGGAATTTCTAATTGAATCAGAGTATCGGCTGATTTTTCAAAGGCTCTCACACGTGGACGAAAAATTGGACTAAAATCGGGCTGAAAAAATTATTTGTTGAACCCCAAAAAGCATTAATAATTAGTTGGCTACTGAGAGGAACATCAGGGCCTATTTATCTTTATAAATATATTTAAATATACAAAATTCCCGTTTGTACGGTTTCTATTCAAATCCGTCACAAATGGGATTCAAAATCGATTGATGTTTCTAAACTGTGCCGGCAAAGTACAATAGAGCTGTGTTTTTATGACTTCGGGACAAATGGAGAAGCTGCCGAAATTTCGGGAGGCTGCGGTTTTGGGATAAAGTTGTTAAATAAAAGTGCCAAAGTTGATAAATGTAGAAAATATGTTTGTATCTACCCTACGTAGTGTGCAGGTTTCGGGGTTTTGTTTGCGGCAAAAGCATTTCTAGCTTAGTTTTCCTTTAGCAACGTCCCACAACTTTAATTAGGTTTTCGTTTTGTTTTTCCATTCTCTCATTCGTATTTTTAAATTGTACATTTGAGTCGTTTAAGCGCTGAAAAATTCTGTTTGGCCTCGTGTGTCACTTAGCGGCAATTCAGAGCTTTAGGTAAGTTGTAGCGCCAAACTGCAATGGTTGAATAACAAACGTTAACAACTTGCAAACAAGCTTCGGCCACTAAATCGTTCGAATTGGGGATTTGGAATCGATTTTTAAACTTTGCCAGAATTGCCGGATTTGCTGGCAAGATTTCGGCTTAAGTGGGTTTAGAGTTGAAATAGTTTGCCTTTGAAAACTTGTTGAAAAGCATGTACAAAGCCGTTGTTTAGGTTCGGGCTAAGCAGGCCTTTGTACAGCTCAACGCAAATTCGTTCCGATTGCTTTTATTGACCGAATCGAAAATCTTTAAAAAATGGCCACAACTTTTTTTCAACAAATTACACAATTGTATCAAGACTTAAAAATCCCGCTCAGAACACAGACAAAATAGTAACCAAGTGAAAACGATGCACTAAACTGAGGATACAAAATGCGCGAATAAAACGAAATGGTTTGCTCAAAATAGCAAGTAGCCTGGAAATTACATGCCACTATTCCAGAGCAAATAGGTAAAGTTCTGGAATCTTCCCCAAATTCGTTAATAGGATTTTCTGCAAAGCACTCGTAATTTCTTTTAATGCAGCCACAGTAAATTAAGTGAGCTTTAGATGAGTTTCCCCACTCTATTATCTTGTGCTACTCGACACCTTCCGCCTCTGGGTTTCAACAAAAAAATTATAATAACATCAATACTCAACATCCAAATTCTCCAACAAACCATGATCATTTCCAACGTGATTTCGCTTCAAATCTGTAAAACTCGAACGTTCTTTCCCGTTGAATATGAACAATTTCACCGTGAATAGGAATAAGGGCCGCCATCCATCACGGGAACAACCGGAAACGTATGTAAGTAATTGAAAATCATTTATTCTCCAAGCTCAGCTTCCACTAAACTAGTTTTTGCTTCTTGCTCGGGGATTTATATAAATCGTTGTCGATTAATTGGCCGGATTGTTGGGCCGTTTCAAACCGAGAAAAGATTTACACGAAATTACAAATCTGCCGCTTAGTAAGGTGATATTAATAGGCCCTAGGGAATAGTCGGCTAATAAATGCAGAAACTTAGCTTTAGGAATGGAAGTAGTACTTTGACTGCTCAGCGTCTCAGGTATATTTGAGCGACAGAGTTTTAAAGCTCCGAAGATTTATAGGAAGACTGAAAGCGACCTAGACGATTTTAGCATTAAGGTCCTAACTATGTTTATAATTATATAATCGTCCTAATCGATGTCTTTTAAATTGGCCTCCAAACTCAACCGATTTGACTGCGGCAAATTACATATTTTCTTATAGAAATTTACGCAATGACCATTAACAAGTGACACTGGACAAAATGCCATCTTCTCCTATAAGAAACAGCTAATATTCGCTGACGCCAATTACTTTGAAGATATAAAATGGCACGATTAAGGCATTCGGATATTGAACAATATAAACTCCGATTGAAAACAGGAAATTCTATCTTAAAATATACAAGAAAACCTGGTTGTTGAACAACAAGCGGATAATTAGCTTGTATGGCTTGGAGCCTGAACTTTTGCCATTAAATTCAAGCTAGAATTTCGACTCGCTAGTCTGGAAGTTCTGTTTGGCAAATAAACAGTCAATGCCCCAAATGGGGCAATTTAAATGGAGATATTCGAGTAAATTGGTTCTTAGTGCTGGATTTTGTGTTGTACAATTAGGCGCTTGAAGACAAAAATACAAAAAATTACAAACTAGGCGAACTTGGGACAATGCTGTGGATTCAAACTCCCACAGTCACTTGAAATTTTGTTATAATGAGGTTCAAAAAGCTCGAAGCAGAAAATATTTCCGTAAAATGCGACCGAAATAAGACCGAAAGACCGAGAGTCTACTGATTTTTCCAGAGCCGTTCAGCTTCATATTACATTCCATTACACAAATACGCATAATTTCTGTTAAACATCGAGAAAAGTTTGCTTAAATAAGTGCAGCGGTTGATGTTTTGGAAGGTCTTAAACTTGGACGAAAAAATTAACAGTTCTCTAACTTTCAGTGGAACTGTGTGTGAAAAGTGTTCTGGAAAAATCTCAATTATTGAATAGCAACTAGGGGAAAGAGCTGTAAATTTGGGCACAGTAAAAGCGAATATTTGCGCTAAAATCTAGGAGAATTGGACCTGAATTGGGAGGTCAGTTGATTTTTCAACATTAATTCAACTTGAATGGAACTGTGGACTCATAAAAAATCCTAAGCTCCCAACTGAGTGAAAAGAATCACTTGAAACTTTTGCACAGCAAAAAGCGCCATTTTCGCTTAATCCAGAGACATTTTCAGTAGAACTCCATAGTCAGTTGATTTTACACAACCTTTGAAGCTGGACGAGAAAATCATGAATTTTCGTGACGTTCAACAAAAAATTGCTGCATCCAAACCAGTGGAGGTAGCAGTTTGAAGTTTTCTCTCTGTTAAATGGAAGCGTCGAGCTTAATCCCGGAAAAATTTCATTAAAATCGGAGCATTTGCTGATTTTTCAGAGGTACTTGGACTTGCGAGAATCCGAAAAGCGGAAAAATCTCTCTCAATCCGCTGCTAAACTAACCCAAACTAATTCAAACTGCTAAAAAACGCCACAATTATTAGCTGCTGCTGAATTGGAGAGCTTTAAGCTATACATCCAGGAGATTTCGTTGGAATCTGAGCTTATGCTGATTTTTCGGAAGCGTTTAAACTTGAACATGAATTTTAATAATTCCGCCCACTCCTGCGTTCCAGTCATTTCTCTGAAATATTTGCTGGACGCCTGAGGGCATACTGGACCTCCTTGGAAAGCCCTTTGTAGACCAAAATAGCCTTTTGAAAATTGCAAACAGTTTGCAAAAGTAAGTGAACTGAAGTCTAAGATTGGCTAATGAGAAAAACTGGGTCGAGCTCGAGTGAAACTCTCAACGGGGAAATCTAAAAGGGTGAACAAGGAAGAGGCCAATTAGCAAACCGAACATCGGGGTCCAGGCCGATAAAATCTGGAAACAGTCACCAAACTCGCCCTTAACAAGTTCGAAAGGGATTCTAAAAGACAACTTTCGAGTACTTACCCGGTCCTGGCAAAATTACTCCAGTAGATCATGGTAATTTCGGAGAGAATTACTTCCGATTTAGTGTAGTTCCTGCCGAAATGCATGAATCCTCCGACGAGGGGAGCTCCGAATAAGTAGGGCAGTTCTTCTCCGTGGATACACCCCTGTCTCTGCAATTAATTAAGGAAACTAATGAAGGATCTTGTTCCGGATAAAGTCCTTAATGTACGGGGCAAATTAAATTTCGCTCCGGATGTAGAGGGCACTATGTCTCAGCCTGCCAAGACTTGATAAGCCCGAATCCTTCCCCATATTGCACTCTGTTTACAGTAAAAAATCAAGTTGCGTCAAGAAAACCAACCAGGGAAGAATCAGGATGCTTTTAAAACTCGCGTCGTTTGAACAAAGCTTCATTAAACAAAAAAAGCGGATAATTCTATCAGCAGAGCGAAATAATCTGAACTTAAAACTCACGATGCGGAAAACCTTTTTAAAAATCCGCTAAATAATAAATGGCAATTTCTTTTCTGAGCGAGCTCATCAATGGCAGGCGACGAGCGACCAGGCTCGACTTTCAGGGTTACCAATTAATTAGGGACTTTAATGAAGAGCGCGGAATAATTAGGACCCTTTGAAGAGGCCCTTCCTAAATGAGAACGCCTGGAAGGGCTTGAGATATTTCAAAGATTTCTGCTTTTTTTATGCCAATAAGGCGAATAATGAATTTTTAATTCGTCATGTCGTTGGAGGTGGTTTGATGGAAAAGTTTGTTCAAAAAAACCCATACATTGGGTTGTGTATATGGAATAAGGAAAAGCAAGTTCAAATATTTGTCTAGCAATAAAAAAAAACGAGTGGATTAAATCGCGTCCTCAAAGGACCATTCGTGAGTGAAATTTATGCTTTTAAACAGACAGTGAAATTCTACCTTCTGTTTATGCATTTCAAGCTTCCACAGCGAGACTTTCGACCAAATAAGTGATTATCTATCAAACAGCCGAAACAGACACTTCAATTAATGAGTGTCCGCAGTAAAGTTCAGCTACTTTTCGAACTCAATGTTGAAATAAAATTTTGAAAAACTGGGAAATTTTGCTCAAGCAACCAGTTTTCTTCGTTAAGCCTACGCCGATACTTTTAAGACAACGAATAAAGTCTCACTACTGAAACAAACATCTGGAAAGCCACTAGACAATAAATTCGAGCTTCTCATATTAATGATCAGTTTCAGTTCTTCAACCAGCAGCAAGTAGGAGCACGTTTTACGTCCATGAAACCGCAACTATTCATCATCTGGTCTGAGGCGTTTATGAACCATTTATTGGCTGGCCATTTTTAATAAACCAACGTGCGAATTTCGCAACATCTATTTAATAAATTGCCCGGCGGAAATTAATTACCCAAGCGGAAGAAAATAAAAGAAAAGCGTGAGAACCGTGGGCCTGGAGATAACGGGCTAAAGCTGCACCTTTGCTGCGAGGTAACACAAAGAAAATCGGCGCCGATAAGGTGGCTGTAAAAATTGCAATTTTGCTTTTCAGCTCTGTGATTTTAAAAAGGAAAATTATTAGCCAGTCTGGAAAGGATCAGCTCTTGTACCTGAAGCTGAAAAATCCAGTTGAACCTAGCAGGTTGGCTCACAGTATGCAATAATAAATTCCATTAGCGTTACAGAGGGAAATTTCCTTGGGCACCGATATCGAAATTAAAATCCGTTCAACCCAACAGGGCTTTATTAAATCATAAAACAATTTCGACGTCTAATAATAATTATTTTCGTTTCGTGAAATAACAATTTTCAAATTACATTTTACATAAAATTATGCTCCAATTACAAAGTCAACATCCTTTGATCCCTTATTAAAAGTCGAGTGCGTGGGGCCCCTGTTGACGAAACCTGCGGCCTGGGGAAAGTGATAGTATGCAAAAACCCGTAATTGAATTTTAAAGAGGCAAACAAAGTTTCAGGGGAACGGGAAAACATTGAAACAGTTTTTTTTCATTATTTTTCCTTATCGGCTACCAAACAGACAATGATCGATTATACTTTTTGCAAGCCCTGCTACCGTGTATAAAAATTACCCAGCCATTCCTTTTGTAAAGCGGACTTAAATTTTGTTTGCGAACTTAAACCGGTTTAAAGTAGCAGCAGAAACCACCCTTAAATCAAACAACTAGAACTAAAAGCAATTTCCCGAGCTATTTAAATAATAGGCGAGCCTTTCCAATGTTTGGAAAAAGCCGTATCTATGAAAGCAAATGCTATTATAGGGATTAAAACGATTCATATCGTTTCGCCCTTTCTATTAACATATTCAACGCTATTTCCTAAATGAAATTGCATTTAGCGAAACGTGATTCGCCAAAGGTATTTCAGCTTGAACATAATCAAATGTGATGGTTTATTTGCTTCCTGCACGAATGGAAGAAATGCAAGGAGCAGCGACAGCGGAGTTCAGCTTACCAGAACACAATTAGGCTCTCTGGTAACAGCAAGTAAATAAATTCGAACAAAGGATTTCATGAGAGTGTTAGATTACTTTGTTAGCGCACTTTTGCTGCAAAACTTCCGGTTCCATTATTAGTTTTAGGCTAAAGTTGCAGGTGCTAATTTTTACACCATTCCAGATAGACCTAAATGGCCTCTTAAGACAGTGAACCATCGACAAGGAAATGTTGGCAGTTTTCACAAGAAGGTCTTGATTTAAAGAAGTTTTAGATTTGCGGATTTGCGTGTTTTCCTCGGTTGCAAAATCGACTCACACATGACGATGCTTTTTTCGAAGTTTCTCAAGAACCATTTGAGCCACCAAATTCGTTTTGGCATAGTTGGATAGAGAATTGAACA